TGATTTGGGGTTTGGTGGACAGTGTTGATTTGGGGGACTTGGAAAGGTGGGAAGATGTGGGGTGAGATCTCCTGCCAAAATCCACCTTGCTCTGTACATTTGGGAAAATTGGCAACCCAGTAATTGACACACACACACACACACACACGACGGGGGAGAGTGCGTCAGAATGAGTGTATAAACCAAAAGGCAGACCAAAAATAACACAATATAATTTTTGTAGAAAAAGTTCTCATGATTTTTAAGACAATCTCATGAATGTTTGGGGTCTGACATAATTTTTGAACCTTCGGGATTGGCAATACTGTACTCAATACTGTATGTAACACCCACAAATACAATGAACATGAAATGGCCCTTCCCCCCCCCCAAACTAGATTAATAACATTCATTAATTTATAAATAATTACTTGAAAGAAAAGCCCACCGCCAGAATAAAAACCCAGAAGATTTGGCACCTGAAACAAAGAGATGTGCTGTTATGCATTGTATGTGAGTCTAGCCAATAAAATAAGAAAGACCTGGTTTGCTACATTCTATTTTCTCTGCTTCACTTCCTTGGTAATGAAGGGTAGGGCCTATGGTCCTAACCGCAGGCATTTGACGTGAGTTTAGAGCCACGTTGCTCCTCCCTCTCACGCAACAGCACAGTCCCCATCATTGTATTAGGGTCTGCTCCAGTGCTGACCAATTCTAGAAGACTTCATAGTTAAACACTATATGACACTTATTTCCCTCAAGTTGGCTATGCTCTATCTCCAGGGCTAGATTTTAATGTTAAGTATTCCCTTCCTTTCTTATTGCCCCTGCCTAACCCTAACCCTTCCACCATTAATCCAGCTGTTCTGCCACTGTACTTCCTGAAAAAAAAGTATAGGGCCCCTTGACAATCTGAGAGGAAGAAATGTGTATTTCAGAGTGGATTTAAAACTCCATGATTGTGGGATAGGCCAAAAGCCAGAACCAATCAAATATCCACAAATATTAAAATGTAAATTAAGTGGGGGCCATAAAGATGCTTGTCTCCATAGCTAAAGTAAGCAGCCAAACTCTCATGTCCTTGGTCCCTGTCTCCAGCAAAATAGTCTCCTGCTGATAAGATATTGTCCCTCTTAGATTTCACCTGAGTATAGTCATGTAGCATTACCACTGTATGAGATATGTTTCCAAGACAATACATGGAGCTTAGCTTTTCAACTTCCATTAAGGAGATAGCATAAATTTGTGGTTGCGGGGGGAGGGGGAACAAACAAATAAAGAAAAACCCAGCAGCCAGGAAGGAACTGGATTATAATTTGGCCTGAGACATTGGCTAACATCACCAGGTGACCTTCTGCAAATCATTTGACTTCTTCCATCAGCCCAGCTGGAAACAAAAGCAAGACCTCACTGGAAACCAGACATTGCATGTAAACTGAGGTTTTCTAGATAAATAAATTACAAAAGAAAGTTTTATGGCAGTCACACAGCCAATGTTCCGCACATTGAACAGACAATGGTAACATAAAACTTGTGTGAATCCTGTGTGGCAAAACTGCTGCACTACAGAGTCCTCTACTGAAGTTACAAATGAGCCAAACAGTTCCTCATCCTAGGACACTGAAATCACAGCGTGCCAAATTCTGATATCCTTGCTCATTTTTGGCAGGACGTTATTCCACCTGCAATCCCATCAATTTCAGTGGGACTATTCCGAGAGCAAAGGACAACTCAGTGGCAGTGAGTCTGGCAGAATCTGCCCCCTCTATGCCACCAACAAGCACAAAACCATAGCGAGGGCTCAGTTGTGCACACTGGGGAGCATTTATTCATGTGAGTAATCCCATTCATTTCAATGGGATTATTCACGTGAGGATCAACAGAATTAAAACCCATAGAGATGACCCCTAAACCATTACATTTAGAGTGTGAGCCTGCTCCTACTGAACTCAAAGGAGTTATGCCATTGACTTCAGTGGGAGCAGAATCAGGGTCTCTATACGGTCAGCGTTTGTTTTAAATGTTCAAAAATCTAAGGTGCCCTCTTCCTGGGCTCAATCTTGCAAGATATTGAGTGAGCTCAACTGCATTTGAAGTCAGCAGATATTGGGGGCTCGCTGCACCTTACAAACTCAGGCCCACTCTGAGATACTGGCTTTGTTAATTAAAAGGCCACATTGCTGTGAAACTAGTCGCATGCATTATGCCAATGTGTAAAATTAATATTTCAAATGGACTTCACATTTTCCAGTTTTTAAATGTTGCATCAGGTAACACAGGAGCAATAAGAGCTCTTGTTTTCTCCCGAATTACGGCAGATACTCAAGATAACACATTCCACACCCAGGGCTCTAGGAAAGAGATTGTACAAATTTACACAGTCCTGGGTAGGAGGCAGTGCAGAACGATACTGACGCTAGAGGAGCAATGGAAGAACTTGTGCTTGAGGAGATACAGTCCATCTTGAGGTTACTTGGTGCAACACACACTGAACATTTTGCAATATCCAGTGAAATGATGCAGATTGCTCCCCCTGGTGGGTTGATGCTATAACCCTGCCCTGCCTTCAGGTACCTCCTTACCTTCATTTCAGGCCACTTGTTTGCTGGAGGGAAGAAAATGAAATCAGTGCTTGCCTAAAGAAACTGTTGTGAGTGGTCCTGGCACAGATGGCACAAGGAACAGTGGGAGGAGAGAAAGGTTTCTTGCACGTGCCCTGCCCTTTCCCTAAGGACCCGCACAATGGTTCATCACACCGTAACCCTCTGAGCATATCTGAGTGAGTTAAACTCCAAGACTGCTTGGCTAGCTGTTGTTTTTTTTCTCCTCACTATGTGAAAATAGCAATATTGTACATAAAAAGCCTGTTGGGAGAAACGTGTTTTTCCTCCATCAGCGAGCAGATGGCACGCAGATTTTGTGCATCATTTATAAATTATTTCAAAGTCTATTTGTCTATTCCAAAGAGATTACTGGAATCTACATCTGCATTTTAATGTAATTGTTTCCATGTCACATGAATGACGCATAGGAGGGTTACAAAAAATGAAGAACACCATAGTTGGCTGACAGCTGCAAGAATTTGGGGAAACCCACCTAACAAATCCCTCCTCACACCTTGTTTTATTTATTGGTTTTTTATTTATTTATTTATTTTTGACACTACGACATTAGAATAAAGTCTGCTAGCCTACGTGGGAAGCTAGAATTCAGTTTTACTGAAAAATTTGCAATAACAATAAATGAAATAGCAAAAGCTGCATCTGTTATAATAAACCAAAACTGAACTGCAAGTAAGAGTGCTTCATACTTATTTCTCTTCTCAAAAAGGGCCAAAGCACGCCTTCTGTGGGATGCCAAAACTGGGAAGAATTTCCTAAATTATCCTGGTCAGGATAAACTGACCCTCTATTCACTATGAAATATGTTTCCTTGCCAAGTAACATACCAGGAATCAGGATGATGGATTGAGAAATAACACTTCCTCTAGGAGGATAAAATTCACCTTTCTGTAGAATCCAAGGCCCTCTGCAACACCTAAGCTTGATATTGGGCCTTCAGATGAATGGGAATGGGTGGAGCAGTGCAGAGGCAGGAAACATTAATGGAGGAGATCTTCTGCACTGGTCCTGAATAAGCATGTGTGGAGATCCTGGTTTGCAAGAGGGATAGGGGTGGGACTATTGACTCTATGATTATAGGGATGGATAGATTTGGGGACCAGGGTTAGCAGCCCTTTTGAAGAAGTGACTTTTAAGGAGAGCCTTGAAGGAGGAAAGGTGTGGATAAAATCTGCTTAGAGGAAAGAGACTGCACAAGTATCCTCTGAACCATCCCACTGTATGCACAGAGTTTTACTATCTCCAATCTTTCCCACCATGGATTAGGTAGTGTTCAGCTCAGTCCCATGGATGTCCCATCTAAGGAGATCTCAAGATCTACATGGCTTTGGACACACAGAGTCTCTGCTGCTTCCCAGCTCCCTCAACCCCATGCTTACATGGCTGCATGGCTCCTATATAAATCTAATTTAAAGCTAGGCTGGACAACATGTAAATAAATCTATATTTATTGCAACATTAATATGCAGTCACAAGCACTCAAAACCTAGGAAATTCCCAAAGTTAGGTGGCCTCCACCTGTCCAGAAATGCCAGCTTGAATTTTATTATTTTTCCAAATATGCAGTATAATGGAAAAGACCATGTCTTAAAGGCTTATGCACAGAGAAGCTTCAGTGTTCAACCTTAACTTTGGGAACAATCTGATTTTTGAGTGAGTTCTCACAGCTATTTTTATGGAATTTCCTTGTTTTAAGCTAAAAATAAAAAATAACATGGTTGAGAAGGACTAAGATAGAAAATAATAAAGAGAACAACTCTGAGCTATTCATCTGGCAGAGACAAGATAGATTCCTTGATCAAAAGACTTCCTTACTGGTCCTGCCACCATTAAGTCTGCGGGGATCCCTATTATTACTAATAACAATAAATGTATGTAGTGCCATATATTTTGCAAACACTGACTTAGATGGGAAGCTCTTTGGGACAGTAAATGTCTTTCTGGTTTATGTGTACCCAGTGCTTAGGATAATAAGGCCCAGATCATGAATTGGGACCATTAAGCATTACTACAATACAAATTGCTAAGTAATAAATTCTATTCAGCGTCTTGGTGATTGCCTACGCCAGTGGATTTGTGCTACGATAAGATGCAGAACCAGATCATCCTCCCATTGCTCCATGTCTTTCACCCAGTTTTGCAGGGAATAACAGTGAAGTGCTATGAACTCGATTAAAGGGACAGATAGATTTGGGACCAGCGTTAGCAGCCCTTTGGTAGAAAGCAACAGAGAGTCCAGGGGCACCTTTAAGAAGAACAGAAGTATTGGGAGCATAAGCTTTCGTGGGTAAGAACCTCACTTCTTCAGATGGAAGCCCCTTGCGTCTGAAGAAGTTAGGTTCTTACCCATGAAAGCTTATGCTCCCAATACTTCTGTTCATCTTAAAGGTGCCACAGGACCCTCTGTTGCTTTTTACAGATTCAGACTAACACGGCTACCCCTCTGATACCTTTGGTAGAAGTGACACATAATTGTGGGACTGTCCCAAACTCTGAAATCTCCTGATACTTTCCAAATGCTATTGGCATCTGTTGTCCTAATTTGAGGAAATATTTACTGATTTTAAGCATTCAGAACTTTAAAACTACTGAATGAGTTTATTTAAAATTTGGCTTGACTCATAGCCCTCAGTGGGACATACATAAGCCAGGGTTTAAGTACAAATTCTATGACTGTAGCAGCTGTGAAGGGTGTACTGTTTCACACTTACATAGCTCAAAAAAATATATTTGTAATCAAATTTTCCACAAATATTCGCCTTCAGAAAGATACCAGGCATGGACATTTTCAAATGAAAAGGAATGAATTTGCTAATGACGAAGACGGTGGGTGCTGTTTATGAATCTAGACAGACAGAAAGCACGCTCTGGACAGATGAAAAAAAAGTGGTTTATATAATAAAACGTAGAACATAAGGTTAATATAATCATGAGCATCATAATGTACTGTAGGGAACAATCCTACATTTGCTGTGGAATAAAATGGTTGACTTAATAGTTCTTTTTCATTTCCAGCTTCTACAGACTTTCCCTTCAACTCTGCTGCTAGGAGCCTGTCTTTTTGAAGAAGGTCCTCAATGCTACATCTCTAGTTGAATTACATTACTCTAGCTGGTAACAGTTGTGTGCATTTAGGCCCTGAATTTCTATTTTTGGGACATCACAAAATGGCACACCCAAGTGCCCAAAAGTATGAAGTCAACAGTTCATCACTCTCATGTTATTTTTCTTTTACTATTGAATATTAGTAAACACTGATAGTAAAAAACCTTGAGATCCATAGCCCATAATCAGTCTGTTACAGGTTGGGGCAGGAGGGAGCAACAAAGTCAATTTGTATGGCCATTAATGCTGCGATTAAAATGACAGTTCTCCACCTGGTGGTGTAATGCACTTAGACAAAGTTCAAATGAAATTTGACCCTCTTGAGACTCTGTCATGAATGGAGAAAGCATAGAGTTGGATGGGCTTTTTCTTTAATGGTATGTATTTTCCAGGTGCTTGTATTGATATATTTAAAAAATCACATTAGAACTGTGGAAAATTTCTAGGGTTTTAAAATTTTAATGGTTTTAAATCAAAAAGTTTGAATTTTAATGGAAAAAATGGAAAATTTGACAAAATGTGCACCATTTTTTCTCCACTATTTTTCAGCCAACTTTATAGCTCTGTCTACACTTATGCATGTACCCAAGTAGTGAAGCATGTAATTCTCCTGTGTACTTTCCATACCCATGCCTGACCATCCACATTCTGCTGGACACGGGTCTAACACTGTATACACGCGCATACCTGCATCGACATAGTGCTATTGTTACATAACATTAGCACTACCACTTAGGGAGGTATCTTGGGTTCTCTGCATCATAGAGAGACACTCTAAGACCTGCTCTCCTGTGTTTTGTTGGTACTGTCACCTGCCTTTACACATTTGCCAATGGCAATTTCTGATTACGTCACATCTCACTGTTATTCCTGCAAAACTGGGTGGAAGACATGAAGTAACGGGATGATGATCCAGTTCTGCTCCTGCTCCTTATTGAGGGACAAATGGTTAGGCAATGGAGTAGGCAATCGCTGAGATGCTGAATGGAATTTGGGTAGCATTGGGTGATATGTCAATGGCAGCTGACCTTGAGGTTTCAATGACATGTCTTTCAGGTCACACTGTACAGATACGGTGAATGTCAGTATGCATCTGATACAGGAGCACCAGCACCGTCTGGTGGGATCATATAGTTTTGGAAACCTGGGATGACTAGTAGGTGGCTTCAGAACGTCTGAATGGGGAAACAGACTTTAATGGAAGTGTGTGAAGATCTTGCACCAACGCTCCAGCACCTGAACACTTGCTTCATGGAAGCTATATGACTGTAGAATCAGGTGGCTATTGCCCTGTGGAATCTGGCAAGCTATAGATTCAGTGCAAACCATTTGGGGGTTGGAACGTCTATGGTTGAGGGTTGTGGTTTTGCATGTCTGTGAGGCAGTTAACGTTGTTGTTTACCCACAATGGTTGCCATAAGAAAAGTTCTAGCAATAATAGCTGAGTTTCCAAGGATGGGCTTTCCAAACTGTGCAGGGGCCAGTAATGGCACCTATACCCCAGTACTTTGCCCACCACACGGGTCAAGTGAGTATGTGAATGGAAAATGTTACTATTTGATCGTCCTGCAAGATTTAGTGGACCACAGAGGCTGATTCCTGAATACAAATGTGGAAAACTTGGGAAAGGGCATGACACCAGGATGTTGAGAAGATCAGGATTGTACTTGAAGGGGGAAGAAGGGATTTTATTTTTCAGAAATAATATGGTTCTGTATGGCATGTCTGTGCTAACTGTTATACACACTCCAGACTTGGCTCCTAAAAGAGTACCCCAACAGCAATAACCCCGGAGAAAAGGAATTCAGCTACAAGTAAAGTACCTGCAGAATGGTCATGGAGTGGACATTTGATAGGCTGAAAGTTCATTAGGGAAGCCAGTGCACCCAGCTGGATGTCAATGTGGCAAATCCTGTCTGTATAATTGTTGCCTGCTGCTGGGTAAAGGGAATTGGTTCCATCCCAAATGGACTCAGGATAACTCTAGTTTACAAACTCTGTACAGGCAGCTGGATCCCAACTATAGGTAAACTGGGCCTGGTTCCCAATGGGCAAGGGAAATCAGAGATGCCATACGGGCACACATCTTGGCACAACAGGGACACAAGATGTAAAGCTGCTGGAAAAATACGAGGGAACATTGGTACATGTTTATGGGGCTATATAGCTTTGCGAGGGTTTTTTTCGCCTGTAGCCGAAGGTCATTAGCCATTCGTTCATGTGACATGGCACACATTAAAGACAATGATAGCAGAGCACCTCCACTGGGTTAGGGTGTTGGGGTTGGATTTGTGCCATGTAGCATGGCAGCCGAGTTATATGGTCATTGTGTCATGTTTTTGACTTTACTATACACACTTTGTTAGCTCTCTTATTGGAAGCTTTTTTAACAAGCTTATGACGGTTTGCTGCTTCGGTTGGAGAGTATTGCATCCATTGTGTTTTCTGACCTATTCTTGTCAGCAGTGGTAAATACAATTAATGGCTGTTAGAGAGCACTGCTCCCTGGCATGGTTGAAACTGCTTAAAGTTTGTTTGTTTTTGCGTGGGAGGAGTATACTGGCAGATGCTATTATTGCCATGTTCCCTCTTCCTTTATTATTGGGTTTAGATTTTCAACATGTGTAATAAAGCCCATAAGATATTGATTGACCCCTTTTTGTTTGTTTTAAACATCTGCTGCTTAGAAAATTAGCAGTGCTTTTTAAAGCACATAATGCCATACATTGCACCATACAACTTAACGGATTTCTGAATCTTGCGGGGAAGGGGAGACTCAAAAATATTTGCACTATAGTGGCACCAGATTTTTTTACACATTATGTCAGGTGGGAAGCTTGTGGCCATGGGTGGAGGGTGGACTTCCCTCCTTCAGGGAGGCTAGCCCCCGACCCCACCTCTTCTGCAAGAGGCCCTGCCTCCTATGGCCACAGCCATGAGCCTCCCACCCAACAGCCGAAGAAGCCCTGGGCTGGCCAGAAGCCCAAACCCCCACCCCCTGCCGCCGGAGTAGCCCTGGGCCTCCCCCATCCGCGCTGGTTGCCCAAACCGACCCCAGCTGTGTGGGCATGCTCACAGCTTAGCATATTTGCACCCATCTCCTTCCCCTCCTCATCAGAAGGGGTGAACGACAGGGGACACTGACTCTTGGTGAGAACCAGGGACTTCTCCAGCAAGGGAGTTAGGGGTTATCCATGGTGGTGTTCTGGGTCTCCCGCCAGCTCATCATTCTCTTTCTGCTCTGTTAGGGGTGGATCACTGCAACAGGATCCGCCAGTTTGGTAGCACCCTGAGCAGCAGTCAGAGGAGGTGGGCGGGCTCTGGGGCCTTAGCAGGAGGTGGATAGGATACCACACTCTTTCAGCCACCAGTTTGATGAACCTCTCCATTAAGGGATGCTTCTGTTCCCTATGGCGCATCTCCATGTCCATGAACCAGTTCATAAGTGTCTCCTTCTGCTGAAGAGCCCGCTCCTTCCTTGCCTGATGAAATTCAAATTGCTCTGAGTTTCTCCTGTACATCCCTATGAGCAGCTTTTCCAGAGTCCTTCTCCATCTACTTCTGTGGTGTTTGGGGTGCTGCGCCTGCCCTCTTGGCAGCATAGTTTTACTGTCAGGAGCTGTAGATCCTGCCAATTCAAAGGGAAGGAAAGCATTATATTTGGGCCTTTGGGACAAACCTGGAAATACTCCCACGTAACATAACTTTGCTGTAGAAGGCCACAATATTGATACATTTCAGCATTCCAAGAATTTAACTGTCTCACTGTCTTTTCATCTAAGACAACTTTTACAGCCCATGAGGAAGGAACAGCAGTTAATAATGGTAAGAAAACTGCTTTTAACAATTTAAAATGTTCATACTGTCTCAACAAGAGGTGGGGTAATTCCTTCCCCGGCTATTTTTCTAGTTTACAATTTCTTCTCTCAAGGCTGGCCAACATGTGGAGAACATAGCAGTTTTCAAAGTTCCAGCATGGAAAAGAGAAGTGGCTTTCCATGCTGTGGAGGAGACCCAGCAATCTACGCTAGAGAGATGTTTCTGCTAATGGTCACCTCTCTACATTTTGCTGAATGGAGGGGTTCAGTCAGCTGAAAAAAGGTGGACCAAGCAGATTTGCATTTCTGGTGACCCTGAAGAACCACCTGGAGAATTTGCTGCAACAGAAATTTGCTGGAATATGCTTATAGGATTGGGAGGCACTTTGACTGACAATTGACAACATTCTCAGCTAGCATATGGAGATTTCATGCAAATGGATATCTGAACCAGTACAACAACTACCTTGGTTGTAAAATATTTACATTCTTATTTTTACACATATTGAAAGGGCTAGCCATGGCATTGCAATGTGTCTTGAGCCAGGACAGTGCATTGTTGTGCTGCCCATTGAGCAGACCAGAAGACAGATAATGGGCAAATCATATCATCAGCTGGGAGAATGTACCTAGCGGGATCCCACACGGGTGTATCCTTCAGGATGCAATATTTTCATAGTGGAAAATGAATAGTGGAATGGAGAGTATGCTTCTAGAATTTGTGGATGACACCATGTTGGGGAAGGGGGTTACAAGCTCTTTGAAGGACAGGATTAGAATTCAAAATGACCTTGATAAATTGGAGAATGGGTTTGAAATCAACAAGACAAAATTCAATAAAGACAAGATCAAAGAATGTTTAGGAAGAAAAAATCAAATCCACAAATACAAAATGGGAAATAAATGGCTAGGAAGTAGTACTGCAGAAAAGGATCCTGGTGCAGGGGAGGGAGTGTACAGTGGATATAAACCAATAGTGTGATGCAGCTGCAAAAAGACTAATATTATCCTGGGGTATATAAGAAAGAGCCTCATATGTAAGACACGGGAGGTACCTTGTCCCACACTACTCAACACTGGTGTGGCTCCCGTGCTGGTGGCCGTACAAACTCTGGCAGACTTCATAGCTGCCCCCTGCTGAATCCTAGAGTATTGTGTGCAGCTTTGGGGGTCACACTTTAGGAAAGATGTGAACAAATGGGAGTCCAGAGGAGAGCTACAAAGCGATGATAGGTTTATAAAAGCCTGAGCTAGGAGGGAAAAAAAACTAGGCATGTTTCATTTTGAGAAAAGAAGACTGAAAGGGGACTTAATAATAGTTTTCAAAGATGTTCAGGGCTGTTCTAAAGAAAACAATGATCAATTGTTCTCCATGTCCACTGAAGGCAAGACACAAAGTAATTGGCTTAATCAGCAGAAAGGGAAATTTAAGTTAGATATTGGGGAAAATTTCTTACTCTGAGGAGAGTTAAGCATTGGAATAAGTTACCAAGAGACATTGTTCTTAAAAATTTCCAAACACCTGTCAGGGATGGTCTAGGTTTCCTTGGTCCTGCCTCAGCGCACGCGGATGGACTAGATGACCTCTTGAGGACCCTTCCAGCCCTACAACTCTATGATTCTATGATCGATTGTCACAGGGTAGCTGGGCTCTGTGGATAGACTAAGCCCAGCTCCACTGGACCGGAGCAGATGAGCCCAAATCCAGCCAAATAACAGGGCAAGGCTACTCCTGGACCTATAAAAGCTACTAGAGGGCAGCTTGAGGAAGGACTGAGAAAGGCTGTGCCTTGGGGAGAAAAGGCCCACGCTGGAGTGGAGTTAGCTGCTGAGCTGGGTCCCTGCAGTAAGGAGCCAGGAACCCAGAGAAGCAGTCCTGGGGCTGTTGCTCCAAGAAAGGAGCAAAACTGACTGAGACTAGGAAGCTGCCAGGAGATAAAGTGCTAGAGACGCCAGGGAAGGGGGGCCCAGGATTGAGTTAAAAGACTTTCTGTTTGTTTGCTAACCTCTGTTAAAGAAATAGACCTCTGTGCAAAAGACTGGGTGTGGCAGTGCATGCTTTGGAGCTGGGGAAAAACAAGACTGTTTGACATCAACTATACCTTTCAAAAGAGTATTCCAGTCTGATCCTTGAGCCATTACTCAGGCAAAGCTCTCATTGAGGTTCCTACCTGAGTAAGGATGGATGACGCAATCCTTTTCTTTGTAGAAAGGTTAAAGTTCTACAATTAATATTGCCAAAATGGACAGCATCCTTTATAGACTCTTCTCACTAACATTTACAAATGCTGTTAAACTGTTTCTCTCTGGGCTCAAATGAAAAGCAAATGATCTCTATTAAGTGCACTTATTGGTTTTGACTGTTAAACAATTAGAGTACACTAGCATAACTACCCTAAACATCATGTGCTGTGATGATTTATTATTTAATACCCACATTTATTGGAAGTCACAAGTTCTATTTTTCAACTATACAATCTTTTTTCTCCTAATAAAATAATTTATACTGTCTGGAATAAAAAAAACTGTCAGAATGTTTTATTCAGTGTTGTTGTAGCTGTATTGGTCCCAGGATATTAGAGAGACAGGTTGGGTGAGGTAATATATTTTATTGAACCAACTTCTGTTGGTGAGAGCTCTGTGTAAGTTCAAGAAAGCTTGTCTCTCTCACCAACAGAAGTTGGTCCAATAAAAGATATTACCTCATCCACCTTGTCTCTCTAAAATGTTTTATATGCAGGTAGCTTAATGTTTCCTTTCCTTCCATTATTACCAGGAGTAATGATGCTTTACAAGGCCTATTATATCTAATATATTTAAGGACAAGTATCCTCAAGTCAATTCTAGGGCATCTTCTATATTGCATAGTCTTTTCAGTTTCCCTGAAACATGTTTGAATGCATACAACTTAAAGAGGGTGTGAAACATTGGTCCATTTTCTACGGGGAGAGGGGGCTATATAGTCTGGATGGTCTCCACCTCAGTAGAAGGAGAATCAATCTTCTCATGGACAGGCTGGCTAGTATAGTCAGCAGGGTGTTAAACTAACAACAAAAGGAGAGGGTAAATAAAGGGAAGCGGTGGGCACTCAGCACAAAATCGAGATGTTGAGAACAAAATTAATCAAGGAACTAAAGGACATAAAGAGAACAAATTCTTTAATTGCCTATACACCAATGCTAGGAGCCTGGAAAACAAAGAAGAGGAATTGGAATTGCATATTTATGAGCATAAATTTGATCTAATAGGTAAACACTGAAACCTGAAATCTGGTGGGATGATTCCCATGATTGAAATGGTTATAACCTATTTAGGAAGAGGGAAAAGAGTAGCACTCTATGTTAAAAATGGCAATATCTGTTTCCGAGTCAGAAAGAAATGATATTGAGTGCTTATGGATCAATATCCTAACAGATGAAGCACAAGATGGGGTATTAGTTGGTGTCTTCTCGGGCATCAAATCACACTGGTGAACAGAATGACGGACTCCTTATACACCTACCTGTATATGTAGGGGGGAAAGTTGTGTAGTCATGGGGATGTTGGAGTGACATATGCTGGAGGTCTCATGCTGCCAGTATTAAAATGTCCTTGGAATTTCTAAACATTATAGATGAAAATTCCCTAATTAAAAATGTTCCGTCCAACACGGGAGAATTCTATATTAGACCTCATTTTGACAAACAGAGAGGAACTGATCACAGAACTGAAAGTTAGTGGTAGTTTAGGCACAACTGATCATGATTTGATCACATTTATAATATGCAAACAGAATAAACTGCAGACCGTGATATATATACTTGATGCTTTAAAAAGACCAATTTCCTAAAGCCGAAAACAATTATGATCCAAGTGATCTGGGAGGAAGAATTTAATCAGAAAAACGTGAATGATAGTTGGGAATTGTGTAAAAACAAATTACAAGATGCCCAAAAAACCACAATTCCACAATCGAGGAAGAAGGCCATATTGGTTAAAAAGCAATCTGGTTTACAGGGGAAGTGAAGGTAGATATAAAAATTTTAAAAATATATATAACAAATGGAAGAAAGGGGAAATTGATAGTAATGAATATAAATCAGAAGCTAGGAATTGTAGAAAATGATAAGGGAAGTAAAGGGACACAAGTAGAAATCTAAGGACAATAAGAAGGAATTTAAATATATTATAAACAAAAATAATCCTAACAATAGTATTGGTCCACTACTAGATAGAAGTGGTAAAATTATCAATAATAACGCAAAAAAGTTCAATAAAGATTTCTATTCTGAAAACCAAAAATATGTGGTAGTCATATCACAGGATAGCACTCTTTCCACTCCACTAGTACCTCAGGAGGATGTTAAAGAACAGCTTCTAATGTCAAAAACATTTTCAAATCAGCAGATCTGGATAACTTGCACCTAAGAGTTTTAAAAGAGCTGGATGAGGTGCTCGCTGGACTGTTAATGTTGATTTTCAATAAGTCTTGGAACAGTAGGGAAATTCCCAAAGACTGGAAGAAAGATAATGTTGCACCAATATTTAAAAAGGGTAAACTGGATGACCAGAGTAATTAGGCCTGTGAGTCTGACATCAATACCAAGCAAGATAATGGAACGGCCTTGAATAATAAAAAATTAAAGAAGAGTTATATAATTAATGGCAAACCACATGGGTTTATGGAAAACAGATTCTATCTAACTACCTTGATATTTTTTTTATGAGATTGCAAGTTTGGTTGATAAAGGTAATAGTGTGGCAATATATTTAGACTTCAGTAAAGCGTTTGACTTGATACTACATGACATTTTGATTAAAAAACTAGAAAGATTACAAAATTAACATAGCACACATTAAATGGATTAAAAGCTGGCTAACTGATAGATCTCAAAATGTAACTGTAAATGGGGAATCATCATCAAACGGGTGTGTTTCTCATGGGGTTTCACAGAGTTCTTGTTTCTACACTATTTAACATTTTTATTAATGACCTGAAAGAAAACAAAATCATCACTGATAAAGTTTACAGATGACACAACAATTGAGAGAGTGGCAAATAATCAAAAAGACAGGTCACTGATATGACTAAATGTAAATGTATACATCTAGGAACAAAGAATGTAGACCATACTTACATGCTGGGGGACTCTATTCTGGGAAGCAGTAACTCTGAAAAAGATTTGGATAATCACCTGAGCATGAGCTTCCAGTATGATGCTGTAGCCAAAAGAACTAATGCAATCCTTGAATGCATAACAGGGGAATCTAAAGTAGGAGGAGAGAAATTATTTATTTATTTATTCATTATTCAAAAACCAGTAGGAGAGCACTTCAATCTCCCTGGACACTCAATAACAGACTTTAAAGTGGCAATTCTTCAACAAAAAAACTTCAGAAACAGACTTCAACGAGAATCTGCAGAACTGGAATTAATTTGCAAACTGGATACCATCAAATTAGGCCTGAATAAAGACTGGGAGTGGATGGGTCACTACCAAAAGTAATTTTCGCTCTGCTGATATTCACACTTTCTTGTCAACTGTTGAGAATAGGCCACTTCCACCTTAATTGAATTGGCCTCATTAGCACTGACCCCCCACTTGGTAAGGAAACTCCCATCTTTTCATGTGCTCTAATATATATACTGCTTACTGTATTTTTCACTCCATGCATCTGATGAAGTGGATTTTAGCCCACGAAAGCTTATGCCCAAATAAATTTGCTAGTCTCTAAGGTGACACAAGGATGCCTCGTTGTTTTTTTATTTTGCCTCTGTATTTGGCACTGGTGTGACCACTGCTGGATGGATGTTGATAAATTGGAGAGAATTCAGAGAAGAGACACAGAATAATTAAAGGATTAGAAAACATGCCTTACAGAAATTGAGCTCCTTGGGTCTATCTATTTAATTTAACAGCAAGAAGTTAACGGGGTAGCTTGATCAGAGTCTATAAACACCTACATGGGGGACAAATATTTAATAATGATTTCTTCAGTCTAGCAGTGAAAGGAATAAAATGGTCTAATGGCTGGAAGTTGAAGCTAAACAAATTCAGACTGGAAATAAGGTAAATTTTTAACAGTGAGAGTAATTAACCATTGGAACAACTTATAAAGGGCCATGGTGAATTCTCTCGATGACCATGTTTAAATCAAGTTTGGATGTTTTTCTATAAGACATGGTCTAGGAATTACTTTGGGCAAGTTCTATGGCCTGTTTTATACAAGGACATCAGACTAGATGATCACAAAGATTCCTTTTTGCCTTGGAATCTATGAATCGACGAGGAGCACTTTTTTTTCTTCATTTACACAGTTTATTTTCTGATACAATTCATTCGTTCACCCAAAGCACTTATTTAGGCTATGTCTTCACTAGAAGCTCTGAAGCATCACAGCTTCAGCTGTGCCGCCCTAATGCGTCCATGTGGACACTCACTTCAGCGACAGGAAGGGTTCTCCCATCAATGTAGTTAATACACCTCCTCTTCTGTCAACCTACTGCTGTGTAGGTCAGCTAAACATTGTTGCTCAGGGTTGTAGATTTTTCACACCCCTAAGCGATGTAGCTTGGTCAGCCTAACTGTTAGTGTAGACCTGGCCTTAGTCGAGCAAGCCATAAATTCTTGACCCCTTGCTGTTTGTTTATGTCATGGAATTTATCTAGAAATTAACCATATGTTAATGTTGAGGAAATCATGAAAAATGTGAATGCTGACAGTGATATTGGATCATTCTATAACTGCAAGCCAACCACCTACATTACACATTTATGAGCAGCTATTAAATATAAATAAACACACATGTGCACATTCCCACTATAGAATGCAGTTAAGAAAAAAGTGTACAACCCCCCCCCTCAACTTTATATAGATCCATTTGACTTACCCCTTCACTTGAATTCTTCCTCAAGACCAAATTCTGTTCCCGTTTCAGTCAATGGTAAAAATTCCATCAACTTAAAAGGATATTGAAATTTGTCCTTTATTGTGGACTAGACTGTTCAACCCTTCCTCGTGTTGGTGAGCGTTTACTCACACAGCAGTCCTGTCAAAGTCTGAGAGACCTAATTGTCCTTTGGAGGCACAATGCACAGGTTCAAGTAAGACATGTTGGAAATCCATAAAGCGAATGTCTCCTCATTTTAGAAGCAGTGTCTTTTACATAAAAAGCTTTCTAAAAGCCACTGTGTCTACTAGTTATTTCTTCCTCTACTTGTTTGATGTGAAATGCACACATCTGTCCATTTATTGTCTGTTCCCAGGGATATTTTCAGACACTTACTCTGCCCTTTTTGATCTCCCAGCTCCTGGAGCCACATGACCATTAGTAATGGGAGAACTGTTTCTGTGGGTAATTTAACTTCTTGTATTCACTGGTGAGATAAAAATAGAACATGTGGCTGCTACATAAGGAAGCAGACATTTTAGTAAGTTAGTGTTATGTTAAAGGATATGGAATACTTGATATACTGTACTATACGCAGAGCTGAGGCAAAGCTGAAAAACTCTGATCTGGGTCTGAACTTTACCAAAAATCAGGGGAGTTCAAATCTAGGGTTTGTTTGGGACCTCTCTCTATTTTTTGGCACAATTAATATTTGGTAAGAAAGAAACCAGTAGCCCACTAGAAGCTTAAGGACTAAGTGACATTATTTCACAGACCAGGAACAAAGCAATCAATTACTAGCAAACAGCAGTAAAAACAGCTGGCAGAGACTGCTGCATAAGAGCAGTGCTGAATAAGGCTAGGGTAAACGAAATGTGCCCTTGATAGAAATCGTATGTCAGGCCTGAATAGATGAAGCTGCGATGTTTCCCATGATTCATGTTAATGAAAAACATTCTTGTGTCCTCCAGAAGAAAAAGTTGGTCTTTTGCAGCAAAGTATTTTTTGTTTTAATTTTGTTGTTTCTACAGATGTTTTCTGGAAAAAAAATCATTGTTATTTATCTTCTCTTCATCAGATGTGTATTCACAGCTATTTATTTTTGCTAGGGTTATTCTCCATGGTGCAGAAAGGATCTTCAATTTGCTAGCCCTCAATTCACTGTTTAACAAAACTTGCAAGAAAACAATGCATATTTTCAAACTCAGATGCCTAAAGTTATATAACAATGTATAACAGAAGCACTTAGCACCTCTTACAATTATGGGAGTTTTATTCAACTATCTATTATGTCAATTTTAGTTAAGTGCCTAAATACGGCTTTAGATGCCTAACTTTCTGGCACCCATTTTTCAAAATATTGGCCTCAGTTTATAGTAAGACAAAACTGTCTATTTGACAAACTACCTTGGTTCACAATAAGTTCAGACAGCCACAATTGTACTCGGCTGGTTTAATCAACAAATAAATAATAGAGGCTACAAACAACAGGCAACATTTACAGGGTCTGGAGGCAGCCAGTTGACGCTCAGCAGATTTATTAATTTACAGAGCACGCGTGTGCTTGGTGCTGTACCAAGAGAGGAAGAACATGATCCTTCCCCAAGGAATTTGCAATATCAGGTTCCAAACCCGCAAAACATTTATGGCATGTGTATAAATTTACTCAAGTGATTAATCCAATGTAACCAATAGGATTACTCACACGAATGAAATTATACACACGTTTAATTGTTCGTACCTTAATCAGATACAAGCTATACATTTCAGACAAAATGCTCCAGAAGTAGGATTTCAGGGCTTCTGTACACAGGAAAACTGACAATAGCTATTCAAAAAACTTATGAAATAAAAATGTCCACACGGGAAGTTATTCCAGAATAGCTATTGCATTTTAAATTCACACTCTACCTTATTCCAGAATAACTTCTGTCCTGTGCAGACAAGTCCTTAGCAAGCTCATGGTAGAATGGATTTCTCACAAATGCTGATACCGGAACATTTAGAATAAATGATTAATCCAGTAAAACCATTAGATTCTGCACTATCTTGGCAAACGGAGGCAACATGCTTTCAATGAAATAAGAGGATAGTATCTTGGCTTGTTCTCAAAACACAAGAATCACTGCAGTCATCGATAGAAGGATAGCTGGATGGTACAGTGGATTAAATGGTAAGAGAATTGAGAGTGTTTCAACTCTGGATCACCATTTCTAATCTGGGCCAAGTCACAAGTGACTGAAAGCCACTGTGATCCAATAGGTGTTTGGTGATTCATGGGAAATGAGCAGGAGCTCTTGGGCCAGCTTGCAGCAGACAGGAATCCACCTCAGACAAGAAGGGCTGAGTGGTACAGTGTGAGAGAAGGTGATCACCCATGTTACACCTGTATTAAATAAGATCTGTTATGGGGGTACCAGTTGCAAATTCATAGTTAAAGCTTTTTCTTCTGCATTGAAAACTTTGATTTAAAAATACAGTGTGTCTTCCCCAAAAGTACAGCACTAATTCTTTGAGTACAGAATGAATTTTATCTCAAACTAATTAGCCTGCTAATTAAATTAATTAAATTCAAAGTTAAAGTTATTCTTAACACTAATCAGTTCTTAATCATACTCATATGGCTATTGCACTCACCTTTGCACTGCTCTATTGGCACCAGCCCTGGGGAATCTTGGGTGCAGGAAGGTTGGGAGGAGCAAGATGCAAATACACTCGACACAACCCAGTACATTATACACCTTAAGACATTGAGCATGTTTGCAAAAGAGACCCTCATCTGGGCTCAACAGAGGGGAGAACAAGGGTATAGTCAAAAGGCAGGCTTATGTACTTTCCATCCAAGAGCCAGGGTTCTGTGGCTATTACCATCCTCAGAGTCCAAACTGATGGCTCACTAGCAGAGCCCATTCAAGTTGCTTAGACAAAAGGGCATGGCAGATTATGAGATCCACCTACCAGACAGGAGGAAGAAGACTAAGGTCTACCATGTAAATTTTCCCAAGCCATGAAAGACCTGGGAAGCTCTCCTTATAGACCCTTGGCCAGTGAGCCCTGAACTAGGGCCCGAGGTAGCTGCTTGCCAAAAACCTGGACTCATACTGCTGAACAAGGTCCTTTCACCAGATCAGAAGATCCAATTAGTGCAAATGATCTGAGCCTTTGCTCAGTGTTCAGGGAGAACAAACACAATACATCATCTGGAAACAGCACTAGGGAAACTGGTTAGGGAGAATCCCTCACCATTACCTAAAAGGAGGTGGGACACAGTAAGAGAAGAGGTACAGGCAGTGCTGAGAATGGGAGTTATTGAGCAGTCTAACAATGATTGGAGGAGCCCTATAGTCCTAGTCCTCAAAGAGGAATAGTCCAATTTTGTATAGACTTTTGCAAGGTCAATACCGTTGTGAAGTTTGATACCTACCCAATGCCAATGGTGGATGAGCTGTTAGAGTGGTTGGGCCCATCACAGTACCTCAGTACCATTGACCTAAGTTAGGTCCAGGGCTTTAGAGCTGTGCTCCGGCTCCGCTCCAGGCAAAAACCTGCAGCTCCACTGCTCCGGAGCTGCTCTGCACTCCAGCTCCAGGCTCCGCTTCAAAGCCCTGGACCTAACCAAGGGCTATTAGCAGATTCCCCTGTCTCCATCCTCCCAGGAGGAGACCGCATTCTCAACCCTCTTGGGTTTTAAAACAATACCGTTCAGGCTGCAAGGGGCAACAGCAATTTTCCAGCACATTATCAGCCAAATCCTTGAAACCGCTCCCAGCAATTCACCACAGTTTACCTTAATGACATTGTCATCTCTACCTGTGAGTGGGAAGACTACTTACAGCACCTAAAGGCAGTACTGATATCACTACAGGAGGCCGGCCTCACATCTAACCCAGCAAAGTGACAGAAGTAACTTACTTAGGGTATCACGTAGGAGGAGACCTTGTGAAACCTGTGTCAGACAAAGTCCATGCATTAAATCCATACCCCATGTCCTGGACTGGGTGACAGATACACTACTTCCTGTGTCTGCTGGGATATTATTACCACTTCATCCCCAACTTTGCATCAATCACAGGTCCCCTGACTGATCTGTTAAAAGGCAAAGACCCCAAGAAGGTCTGGTGGGGGATGACTGAAACCTACACTTCACCTGGGAATTTATCCTCTATACCAGGGGTGGGCAAACTTTTTGGCCTGAGGGCCACATTGGGGAATAGAAATTGTATGGTGGGCCATGAATGCGCACAAAATTGGGGTTGGGGTGCAAGAGGGGGTGAGAGCTCTGGTTGGGGGTGTGGGCTCTGGGGTGGGGCTGGGGATGAGGCGTTTGGGGTGTAGGAGGGTGCTCTGGGCTGTGACTGAGGGGTTTGGAGGGCGGGAGGGGAATCAGGGCTGGGGCAGGAGTGTGGGAAGGGGTGCAGGTTCCAGCTGGGGATGCGGGCTCTGGGGTGGGGCTGGGGATGAGAGGTTTGGCGTGCAGGAGGGTGCTCTGTGCTGGGATCAAGGGGTTTGGAGAACGGGAGGGGGATCACGGCTGGGGCAGGGGGTTGGACTGTGGGGAGAGGCTCAGAGGTGCAGGCTCCAAGCAGCGCTTACCTCTAGCGGCTCCCGGAAGCAGTGGCATGTCCCTTCTCTGGCTCCTATGCACGGAGCAGCCCCCAACCCTGCTAGTGCTGGAGCTGGGCCATGCGGCTGCTTCCGTGAGCCGTGTGGTGCGGCTCCCGACCCTGTGCTCCGGCTGAAGATCGCGGGCCGGCTTAAAATGGCTTGTGGGCCATAGTTTGCCCAGCCCTGCTCTATACAGATGCTACCGACATCCACCTGGGAATTGTGCTCTCTCAGAACTCTGGGGGAGAAGAGCATCCCATCCTATATTTAAGCAGGAAGTTGTGCTCCAGCCCTATAGATTCCAGGTGCAGCAATAAGCAGGGAGAGAGCATAGAAACACAGATTTTTTTCCCCAAGGAGCTTTGGACTGGGGAGATGTTACAGCACAAAACCTTTCTGGTATTGGGGCAGGGATGTGTTGGAACATACCCCCCACCCCATCTCACTGACAGAAAGGCTAACTGCATTCATGAAGCACCAGTTAGGTGCACCTGCAGAACATACTCAACCTGGAGAAGGGGAACTTAACAAGCGTGAAGCTCTCCACAGGAAAAGGGGGAAGCTTGCCCAGGAGGAAAAGCTGTTAGGGACTCCCAATGAGCTCCACTAGAAGGAGAGCCTAACCTGGGGTAGAGACCAACATTTTCTTTCCCCCTTGTTTTGGGGCAGACGGACATTGCAAGTCCTGTAAAGCTGCTTCCAGCCAATATCCTGTGGCAGGGCCTGGGGAGCACCACCATGGACTAGAGATAATTGAACTCCAAAGGGACCCTGGGAGTGATCTGAATTCCTGCCAGGAACAGTGAGATTGCCTAGAGATGGGCAAGAGACTGTGGAAGAGCCTGGGCTGAGAGTCAGCTGACTACACAGCCACGGAAAAATCTGTGCTACATTAAACTAACTAAATAAAAATCAATATTAGTGATCAAATAGGTGTGATGAGAATATTTTTACTTCATTGTTTGGTCTATTCTCCCCTGTTAAGTTTTGAATTCTTAGGAGGAGACATTCAAACTAAATCCATCAAGCCCTGATCAGCTTCTGTACACCTTGTAACTAAAGAGCAACAATGTGGAATATACAGTGCATTTCACTGAACTGCTGGACTCACATATTAAGAGATTTGTCATTGTTCTACCAATTAAAAATCTATTAATAAAACTGCAGCAATGATTTAGCATTTCAGCCCTGTAGATGTATGGATGGCAGCAAGTGTTACATCCCCAGACATGTTATAAAGCTGAAATCCCGCTGCCTGTTTTTATTTTGTAAATCTGTGATTCTTGTGCAAGCATCTCCTGTTATTGGAAAGAAAGCTGGATTCCGAATGGCAGCCAGCAGGGGACTTGGAGACTTTTGCAGCTTTAATGACTTGCAAATCAAAAGCATGAAAACCAAACTGCACCTTTTGAACTGTTTTCCCATTCAGCCTAGATGGTCCAAATAAGTTTCTCCTCCACCATTCCTGTTATTTTCGCTACTTGAGTGTCAGCCTTTTTGGTGTATTTTTAAAACATCAGGGTGGGGGGGAGACCTGTCCAATGATCTCAAAGCATATGTTTTTGATTCTAATAGGATTATGGATACCAAAGGAATAAAAATGGAAATCACTGCTGCCAAGATATGAAAGAAAGTTTGCATACTAAAATAAT